AAAATGGTTGTTGAAGAACATATGACCGGGTGGTTCTGAATTACAAGCTGTTCTGAATTCTTTTTCTTTTCAAAACTTAGTTGCTAAACTCACAACAATCTTTTTCCCCAGAGAGTTTTCTATTAGGAGATCAGAGGGTCAGGAACAGTTGTTCTCACAGTATCCAGTGCCTAGACCAGTGCAATTTACTGCACTTGGTTTTGTGTCAAGATGATATTGATCTGTAGTGCGTAATCATTAGGCCACTTGAATTAGAGTGCTATAAAAGTAAGTGAAAGAAAGGGGTAGGGAGAGCTCATCTTCAGGATTTTGCTCCTTTTCCAAGTCTCCATTCCTCTCTAGGTGAGGACAGTTGCCTTCCTCTCCATCTCAGAGGCAGTCCCTTCACAAGAAGATCTGAAATACTTGAAGGTGAGCATTGCCAGTGTGGGTGCTAATACCCATGTCAGGGTGGCTGGCTCTTTGTGGGAAGGTGACTTCAAAACTGAGAAATGTGTGTCCTTAGCTAATGGAGTGCTTGCTTTGAGATGCCACAGCCCAGACCTTTCTAGCACATGCTATAGTAGGAGCCTGGGCCCATGTCCTTGACTCCTTCATTCTCACCTGGGTCTTCTGCAGCGTATCAGAGGAGCCATTATGTCCCTGTCCTCCAGCCTAAAGAGTCTCCTCACCGTCTGTGTCCTCGCTGCTTTCGTTGCCAGCACTGTGGGTAAGAATGAACAAATGCCCCTTTCTCCCAAAGATCTGAAGGGTGAGGATAGCAATAAGTCCCTTAGGGAGCAACTGTGGACCGTGTGGGCCTCCAAGGACCCATCCAGCCCCACAGGGACCAGGTTTCATGTGACTTTGATTCCCAGGGATCTCTCGCTATTGAAAACATCAACTCTGACTTGACAGTTTTCATTCTTGAATTATTTTTTGAACAATATTTATTTCCTTTTAGAAGAGAGTTACAAATGTGTACAATGTGATCAACAGTGTGACGAGGAGAAAACTTGTGATTCCTCTCATGGCTGCTTCAGCAAAAAGAGTGAATTTAATATGACAGGTAGGCCCCAGCCACCCTGCCCGAGCTGCTGGATACTCAGGGCAGACAAAGGAGGTGCTTAGTGTGAGGGGGTTACTTTGTTCAGAAACTTGATGTATCTCCTCATTCCTTTATGCATCGTCTTTTTTATCCTTTCTTCCTAAAATAATGTCCTGCCAGGATGGGGCTAGGAGAGTGTGGTGGCAGGGATGGGGCACTGTGTGAACACTGGGTATTCAGGGAAAGGTATAGGTGATCCTGGCTCCTATACAATCTCGTGGGGACCGTTGAGGCCTGACACTCCCTTTTTAGCAAATTCTAACATATTGTCCCTCTGTTGGTTTATTCTATGGAATGGACCAATGCAAAAGCAGTCTTTCGCAGAAGAGGAAAGACTAAAGACACATGGAGTGGGGGCCTGCAATCTTTTAATACTGGCTGCCCACTGGGCCTCACTGCCTCTGGCGCAGAGAGAAAATTCTTGGGGTTTGGTTCTGTGCAGGGCAGCAGCCCTATACTATCCTGCAGAAAGGCTGTTCTTCAAGCAAGTGTGAGCCACGGGCCTTCTCGGCGACACTGGGGGTTAACCACACATATGGGTATGGCTATCAATGCTGCCAAGCTGAAAAGTGTAACAAAGCAGACTTCCAAGGTGAGGACCAGCTCAGCTCTGTGCTCTCCCTCCCTTCCTCCTCCTGCTCCCAGTCCATCGATTTTAGCCTCTGCCTTCTAAGAACCAGTCCACAACCCATCTTTCTGCTTCTGAGATACCCACTGACGTTGCTTGCCAATTGCTTGTCCTTCTTCCTGTGGAGCACCACGGATAGACACCAGTCTCTCTCTGCATGGGAGACTGAGTGAGAGTGGGGGAGAGTGAGTGAGAGTGGGGGAGAGTGAGTGGCGGTGGGGGAGAGTGAGTGGCGGTGGGGGAGAGTGAGTGGCGGTGGGGGAGAGTGAGTGGCGGTGGGGGAGACTGAGTGAGAGTGGGGGAGAGTGAGTGGCGGTGGGGGAGACTGAGTGGCGGTGGGGGAGAGTGAGTGACGGTGGGGGAGAGTGAGTGACGGTGGGGGAGAGTGAGTGAGAGTGGGGGAGACTGAGTGAGAGTGGCGGAGAGTGAGTGGCGGTGGGGGAGACTGAGTGAGAGTGGGGGAGAGTGAGTGGCGGTGGGGGAGACTGAGTGGCGGTGGGGGAGAGTGAGTGGCGGTGGGGGAGAGTGAGTGGCGGTGGGGGAGAGTGAGTGAGAGTGGGGGAGACTGAGTGAGAGTGGGGGAGACTGAGTGAGAGTGGGGGAGAGTGAGTGATGGTGGGGGAGAGTGAGTGAGAGTGGGGGAGACTGAGAGTGGGGGAGAGTGAGTGGCGGTGGGGAGAGTGAGTGATGGTGGGGGAGACTGAGTGGCGGTGGGGGAGACTGAGTGATGGTGGGGGAGACTGAGTGGCAGTGGGGGAGACTGAGTGGCGGTGGGGGAGAGTGAGTGGCGGTGGGGGAGAGTGAGTGGCGGTGGGGGAGACTGAGTGGCGGTGGGGGAGAGTGAGTGGCAGTGGGGGAGAGTGAGTGATGGTGGAAGAGTGAGTGGCGGTGGGGGAGACTGAGTGATGGTGGGGGAGAGTGAGTGGCGGTGGGGGAGACTGAGTGATGGTGGGGGAGAGTGAGTGGCAGTGGGGGAGAGTGAGTGGCAGTGGGGGAGAGTGAGTGATGGTGGAAGAGTGAGTGGCGGTGGGGGAGACTGAGTGATGGTGGGGGAGAGTGAGTGGCGGTGGGGGAGACTGAGTGATGGTGGGGGAGAGTGAGTGGCAGTGGGGAGAGTGAGTGGCAGTGGGGGAGAGTGAGTGATGGTGGAAGAGTGAGTGGCGGTGGGGGAGACTGAGTGATGGTGGGGGAGAGTGAGTGGCGGTGGGGGAGACTGAGTGAGAGTGGGGGAGAGTGAGTGAGAGTGGGGGAGAGTGAGTGGCAGTGGGGGAGAGTGAGTGATGGTGGAAGAGTGAGTGGCGGTGGGGGAGAGTGAGTGGCGGTGGGGGAGAGTGAGTGGCGGTGGGGGGGACTGAGTGACGGTGGGGGGGACTGAGTGACGGTGGGGGAGAGTGAGTGGCGGTGGGGGGGACTGAGTGACGGTGGGGGAGAGTGAGTGACGGTGGGGGAGAGTGAGTGGCGGTGGGGGAGACTGAGTGGCGGTGGGGGAGAGTGAGTGGCGGTGGGGGAGAGTGAGTGACGGTGGGGGAGAGTGAGTGAGAGTGGGGGAGACTGAGTGAGAGTGGGGGAGACTGAGTGAGAGTGGGGGAGAGTGAGTGATGGTGGGGGAGAGTGAGTGGCGGTGGGGGAGACTGAGTGAGAGTGGGGGAGAGTGAGTGGCGGTGGGGGAGACTGAGTGAGAGTGGGGGAGAGTGAGTGGCGGTGGGGGAGACTGAGTGGCGGTGGGGGAGAGTGAGTGGCGGTGGGGGAGAGTGAGTGGCGGTGGGGGAGAGTGAGTGAGAGTGGGGGAGACTGAGTGAGAGTGGGGGAGACTGAGTGAGAGTGGGGGAGAGTGAGTGATGGTGGGGGAGAGTGAGTGAGAGTGGGGGAGACTGAGAGTGGGGGAGAGTGAGTGGCGGTGGGGGAGAGTGAGTGATGGTGGGGGAGACTGAGTGGCGGTGGGGGAGACTGAGTGATGGTGGGGGAGACTGAGTGGCGGTGGGGGAGACTGAGTGGCGGTGGGGGAGAGTGAGTGGCGGTGGGGGAGAGTGAGTGGCGGTGGGGGAGACTGAGTGGCAGTGGGGGAGAGTGAGTGGCAGTGGGGGAGAGAGTGATGGTGGAAGAGTGAGTGGCGGTGGGGGAGACGGAGTGATGGTGGGGGAGAGTGAGTGGCGGTGGGGAGACTGAGTGATGGTGGGGGAGAGTGAGTGGCAGTGGGGGAGAGTGAGTGATGGTGGAAGAGTGAGTGGCGGTGGGGGAGACTGAGTGATGGTGGGGGAGAGTGAGTGGCGGTGGGGAGACTGAGTGATGGTGGGGGAGAGTGAGTGGCAGTGGGGGAGAGTGAGTGGCAGTGGGGGAGAGTGAGTGATGGTGGAAGAGTGAGTGGCGGTGGGGGAGACTGAGTGATGGTGGGGGAGAGTGAGTGGCGGTGGGGGAGACTGAGTGAGAGTGGGGGAGAGTGAGTGAGAGTGGGGGAGAGTGGCGGTGGGGGAGAGTGAGTGGCGGTGGGGGAGAGTGAGTGGCGGTGGGGGAGACTGAGTGAGAGTGGGGGAGACTGAGTGGCGGTGGGGGAGACTGAGTGGCGGTGGGGGAGAGTGAGTGGCGGTGGGGGAGACTGAGTGGCGGTGGGGAGACTGAGTGGCGGTGGGGGAGAGTGAGTGGCGGTGGGGGAGACTGAGTGGCGGTGGGGGAGACTGAGTGACGGTGGGGGAGAGTGAGTGGCGGTGGGGGGGACTGAGTGATGGTGGGGGAGAGTGAGTGGCGGTGGGGGAGAGTGAGTGGCGGTGGGGGGGACTGAGTGACGGTGGGGGAGAGTGAGTGGCGGTGGGGGAGAGTGAGTGGCGGTGGGGGGGACTGAGTGACGGTGGGGGAGAGTGAGTGACGGTGGGGGAGAGTGAGTGGCGGTGGGGGAGACTGAGTGATGGTGGGTGGCAGGGATTGGTTTGGGGATTTTCTCTAAATGTGAGTCTTTCGATTTAAATAATTTTCTCTTCAATTCCAGCTGAAAGACTTGTCCTTCCTCATCTATTTAATTCCTCACTCCTTCAATCGTATCTTTTTAGACCACAGATTATCTTCTCTACCATTATTTAAATATTTTTCTCCGGTCAGGGCAGAGAGGGGGTGATTCATGAAAAGGGAAAATAACACTGAATTCCTAATAAATGTTTTTCATTACTTTACATGGAAACATCTAATACCTACAATCCTCCTCCCTCCTCCCCATGCCATCCTAGTTGTAATTGTGTGTGTGTGTGTGTGTGTGTATATGTGTGTGTGTGTAGAAATCCTAGAATAACCATGATCTTGGGGATAAATAATGAACTCTTTTATCTGCCTGTTTCTTAAGATACATTTTTTTTCTCTCTTCAATCAGTGGCTCGGAAGTCCTCAGATCCCAATGGCATTACCTGTCCTGCCTGCTACAATGCGCAAGGTGCTACCTGCCAACCAAGTGACCTCGCCTGTAAAGGGGAAGAGACGAAGTGTCTTAACTTTACAGGCACAGGTATCGATATTTACCCAAGCATTTGGTGTTCAGTTTCCTAACGGGCGTAGTGTATTAGCCAATTATTGCTGGATAACTAGTTACTCCCAAATTTACAGCTGAAAACAACAAAGGGTTATTTTACAGTTTTTGTGTGTCAGGAATCTGGATGTGGCATAGCTGGATGGTCCTGGCTCACGGTCTTTCATGAGGTGGACATTAAGGTATCAGCAGGGTCTGTGGTCGTTTGGATGAAGGGTTTGCTTTCAAGCTGGTTCACATGGTTGTTGGCAGGTCTCTGTTCGTCTCCTATGATCCTCATAGGTGCCTGAGAGTCATCTGGACACATCAGCTGGCTTCTCCCAGAACAAGCGATGAGAGAGAGAGAGAGCAAGAGAGAGAGAGACTATAGTTTTTAATAATCGAATCTCAGAAGTGACACATCCTCACTTCCACTCTTGGTCACACACAGATCAAGACTGACAGCCTGGGAGAGGTCTATGCCAGTGCACAAATACCAGAAGATGGGAACCACTGGGGATTATTTGAGAGGCTGACTGGTACACACAGCAAGGTGTGCTACAGGGCCAGATGCTTGGTTATCCCTCTAAGGTTTGGAGGGAGACATCTGGAAGGAGAAAAAAGAAAAAGGAAGAGAGGGGAGGAGAGAACATAATTGCTTCCCATAGCTAGGACTGAGGCTTGAGGGGGACATCTATCACTATGATGTCCTGAAATGAGCTCTTGGCTCATTGGCAATGAAGGGGGTGATGGCACCTCAGTTCCAGTTATTATCATCACTACCGTTATTACCATTACCAAACCCCACGATTAAGCATTTACTTTTTGCATGGTGTCGTTCTGAAATCTATAGAAAGATTTGTAATTTTCCTGAGTAGGGAAGAAGTATATTTGTGGTGAAGGGCACATATGCCATTCGACCATAATCTCTTTCTAGATTGTACAGCTGGATGGAGGTACTGTCAGTTCTCTTCTGATCCATTTGGAAGAGGTTTTCTGGAATTGGTGGTGTTTTACGAGCTGATTAAATGACAGGAGAGAGAATTTAGTGGGAAAAGAGACGAGTTATGCTTTCTTTGGAGGGGAAGGGAGGAAGATCTTGAAGGAGGGTCTGGTACTCGCAGGTGAAGGGCCCTTTGTCTGGATATGTTGAGATGACTGAGAAAAATATGATGTCTGGTAGGATACAGAAAAGGGTTGGAGCTGTTGATAGCGGGCAGTCTCTCTACTCCCTCTTACCATGTGGATAGCACAGACATGCAATGAGATTTCACAGTACTAATCTCCCAAGAAACTCAGAGCCCTGGGGAGAAGAGCCACAATCTTGAGAGAGATCTGCAATATTTCACTGTGGTTTCCCCAAAGGAAGCAAAGGTAAGGAGGAGGACAGGTACCACTGAAGTATTTTAGCAAAATACATGAGATCTGACTTCTTTCTAGCTTTTTTCCTACATCAACGATCCCTTCCTTAGTCAGGACCCAAAGGCCCCAGTCTCAGTCATGCATCTGAGACAGCAAGGTCCCTTTGGGGTCTCTCCTCAACTGGAGAGATGTTGGGACCAGAAGGCAGTAAGGCTTGGTCCCTGGATGGAGTTGGAGCCACCGTTGATGCCTCTCATGCAGAAGGCAGAAGGCAGGGATTCTGGGGCACTCTGCACACCCTTCTCTTCCACAGGGGATGCAGATAGGTTGACCTGAGGATGTGGGTGAGGAGGGGAGACACGACTAACCTCTGGATCCTTCTCTTTGCAGTTAATGACACCATATTATTATTTGGTATGGGTTGTGCAACTGAAACTGCTTGCAACTTGAAGGATGTGGAGACGATAAATTACATAAAAATCCGTACCTACTGTGAAGGCAGCAGTAATGGAAGCCCTCAGCTGATGTCCATCATCTCATCAATTCTGACTGCTCTTTTTCTGCTGAAAGTCTTGATTTGATCTCTGAGGCACTTCCAAGGCCATTTACAAACGTTTCAAAGCACTTCTATAAACCTGAAGAAGTTGGAGACCTTGAATGTCTCCCTCCCCCAGCACTGCCTACCCACAATATCAGAGAATTAAAAGGTTGATACGTCCAGAAGTATGTGTGTGATTACTTGTTTGTTCTTGAGGTTAAAAAACCCTATTCACCCTTCTAATGGCTTCTTTCTTCAACCCAAATAGCACATTTCAGAGGAAGTCTGAATGGCATCTATAAGAATCCCTGTGCTGCCATCTTGGTGTGAATCGAACTATATCCTCAGTCACACATCCTGGAATGCACCTGTTTCCTGATATTCTCAATTCCCACTCTTGATCCTTAACTGCCCATTGCCAGGGAAAATTATTTTGAGTGAACAATTCACATCCCAAGAGGGTCCTTTCCCACAGATTGTAAAGTCACAGCTGTAATGGACTTTCCCTGACCTCAGGATCCTGTGTGTGAAATTCTTGCCATATACTCTGGATACATCTGCTTTCAAGGATGGATGGGTATCAGGATAAAGGATGCAGGCAGAGGTGGTCTGTGAGGTAGTTTTAAATGCTAAGTTTAAAAGATGGAGGTGCATGCATGGAGAGCCAAGAGGGCTGTGTCCTCACGTGGCAGGGTTTGGAACCACAGCAGCCACAGCAACACTTCATAAATGCCTGTGAAAAGGCAGGGGGTCCAGGCGAGGAAAAGCTTTTACAGGATTCAAACTTGCATGATGTTCTTGTGGTGCTGATCCCACAACTAAGTAACCCTGTGGTAGGCTCAAATAGACCCTTTGATTCTCCAAATTCCTGGCACACGACTGGACCACATCTCGCAGCAATTTTTGAGCTATATGTGGGCCAAAGTGAGCACCCTTCTCCAGTATCCTGGCCCATGGAACCCTTCCAGACATGACCCTTTATGCCCTTTCTGCATCTGTTGACTGTGTGGGATGCACTTTGTGTCTGAGGAGGGCTAAGACTCAGTATAGAGAAGACTGGTCCTTAAGTTGCTACTTGGAGGAGATCCACCTGAAGTAGTGTCCCAACCATGAATGCCCAATGTGGACCATTATGTGGGCAATAAAGAAACACTTCTATGTTAACTCTCTGAAATATGAGGGGTTAGGGTACCCCTGTTAGCCTGTCCCAACTAATCCATCTGAACGGCAATGGGAGGAGTACAGACCACACGGCAGAATCCATCTGAACTGCAATGGGAGGAGTACAGACCACACGGTAGAATCCATCGGAACGGCAATGGGAGGGGCACAGACCACACGGCAGAATCCATCTGAAGGGCAATGGGAGGGGCACAGACCACACGGCAGAATCCATCTGAACTGCAATGGGAGGGGCACAGACCACACGGCAGAATCCATCTGAACGGCAATGAGAGGGGCACAGACCACACGGCAGAGACCAGCCCAAAGGCTTTTCTTGACAGTTGCCATCTAAGAGGCGCAGTCTCAAGTAACACCCTGAAACTTGTGAGTTATTCCTTCCCTGGCCTGAACGTGAAGATTTCTGCTTGCTCAAACTGGTCAGCAGTTCAGAACAAACCCAGTTCCCTTGGGCTCTGAGCCGGATCAAAGGGGAACCTTATTTTAGCCTCTGTTATCAAGGCTGCATGGCCGCCCCTGCTGGGAAGTGCTTTGACTCCTTCTGCTGATTTTTCCAGAACAGAAATGGCAGATTCAGGGTAACATCTAAATTCCAACCGTCTTACCTCATTTGGGGCAGTGAGGCTATTCTTCAATGGAAATATTAGAAAGCAAGGAATGTGCGTTTTAGACACGGAGCTTTCAAGTATTTGCACATTGTGTTCAGCTTTGCATGTCCAGAGTCGATCTGGGAGGTGATCTATGGGTCTTTGCAGTACTCTGCCTATCAATGAGTAAGAATTAATTTCTTCTGTTTCTCATGAGAAGAAAGTTGAATTTCAGTAATGACAAACATTTTCTAACATTTGTTGAGGGATTACTACATACCTGCCTCTGGTCTAACTGCTTTACATGTATTAACTCAGTTGATCCTCACAAAAGCCCCATAATGGAAGTACTGTACTATTTTATTCCCATTTTATAGATGAGGAAACTGAGGCACAAAGAGGTTACTAACTTGTCCAACTAGTAAATAGTGGAGTTGAGATTTGAATCCAATCTCTCTGGAGGTGAAATAATCAAGCTGCCCAGTTTATTACTTGTAGAAATTTAGACTTGATAACAATTCTTTGTTCATTTTTTAAATAACCTGTATCAGTTTTCAATTGCTGCCATAACAAATTACCACAAAAGTAGTGGCTTAGAAAACAATGTCATTCCTTGTTCTGGAGGCTCGAGTCTGAAAAGAATTGCACTGAGCTGACGTCAGCAGGGCTGTTTTCTCTGGAGACTCTGAGGGGAAAATCCATTTCATTGTGTTTTTCAGCTTCTAGTGGCCACTTGTACTGCTCGGCTTGTACCTCCCTCCTCCGTCTTCAAAGTACATCACTCCACTCACAAGACCCTAACTCCTCCTTCCTCTCTCATGAGAACTCCTGTGATTACACGAGGCCCACCCAGATCCTCTGGGAACATTTTCCCATCTCCAGGTCCTTCATCCATCTGCAAAGTCTCTTTTACGATATAAAATGGCGCTCAGGGTGATGCTCAGACCGGGCGCAGTGGCTCAAGCTTGTCATCTCCGCACTTTGGGAGGTCGAGTTGGGGACATTACTTTAGCCCAGGAGTTTCAGACCAGCCCGGGCAACATGGTGAGACTCCGTCTCTACAACAAAACAAAACAAAAAACCCCACAAAAATTAGCCAGGTGTGGTGGCATGCACCTGTTGTCCCAGCTACCTGGGAGGCTGAGGTGGGAAGACACTTGAGCCCAGGAGGCAGAGGTTGCACCCAGAGCTGAGATCGCAGCCTTGCCCCACCCTGGGTGACAGAGGGAGACGCCACCTCAAAACTAAATAAATAAGTAGGATAAATAAATAAATAAATAAACAAATAAATAAAATGACATTCAAAGGTTCTGGGGATAAGGATATGGACTTATTTTGAAGATAGTATTTAGCCACCACAAAACCCATCTGTTTGCAAACAAATAAATAGTTTTTAAAATTTTTTTTTTTTTTTTTTTTTTTTTACAATTCTTACAATGAAAGTGTAAACCAAAAATAAAATTCTAACCCCCTCAACCAACTAAATACACCCCTCCTCTTGGCCAAGGGGATTCCAAAGAAACCTGAAAAACTAGTTCAGGCCAGGATGAGAAGGGAGTGTACGACGTGCCTCATTATACTCTCCTGTCTTTGGAATTCAGACCCAGCTAAGCAGCATTAACATTAAAACAGAGATGGCTGGCCACAGTGGTTCACGCCTGTAATCCCAGCACTTTGGGAGGCTGAGGCAGGTGGATCACCTGAGGTCAGGAGTTTGAGACCAGCCTGGCCAACATGGAGAAACCCTGTCTCTACTAAAAATACAAAAATTGGCCGGGTGTGGAGACGCACGCCTGTAATCCCAGCTACTCAGGAGGCTGAGGCAGGTTCCCGCTTGAACCCGGGAGGCGGAGGTTTCAGTGAACCGATATTGGGCCACTACACTCCAGCCTGGTGACAAAGCAAGACTCCGTCTCAAAACAAACAACAACAACAAAACATTAAAACAGAGATCTTAATACTGACAAAACAGACTCTGTAGCAATAAGATACCAAATTTCCACCTGTCTCCAGCATAGCATCACATGACAGATAGCAGGCCCTGAAGGAAATCGAAGCATTTTACCCCAAAGTAAATTTCTTTGATGTATTTTGAAATGTCCCTGCAAAGTTGTCTCTTGTGGGGCAAATTTACATTCTTTAGAGAATCCCTTTCCCTTTCCAGGTCTTCTGCTGAGCCTGGGTATCTGGCAGGTTCTAATGGCCTGAAGAGGAAACATTTGCCACCTCTTGCCTCCAAGGGCAGCCACCTTTGAGGCTTTCTGTACATAATGAGAACCTTGGTCTCCACAACCCCTTATGTTAACCTAGACATGCCTTTCTATTGATTCCAGGTCTTTAGATTAATAACCTAACTCTTTCAACCAACTGCCAATCCGAAAATCTTTGAATCCACCAGTGCAGCAACAGAGTGAACCTTGAGTTGTTCCACCATTTAGGACCGAATCAATGTATACATCACATGTATTGATTGATGTCTTAGGTCTCCTTAAAATACGTAAAATGAAGTTGTAACCCACACACCTTGGGCACGTGTTCTCAGGACCTCCTGAAATTGCATCATGAGTCATGGTCCTCACATTTGACTCGGAATAAAATCTCTTCAAATGCTTTCTTTTTTTTTTTTTTGTCAACAAAAGGTATCTATAAATGAGGACTATTGGAACTGTCATGCTAAGGAAAATATTACAAAGCTGTGTTATAGGATGGGTGAAGGGGAGGGCCACTGTACCAGAAAACTCATTTATGGCTGTGGCTGTCTTTGAGAGGGAATTAGCACACACAAAGCACATTAGATCATCAACAGAACAAATCTTTGAGAGAGATTTATTATAGGAATCTTTTTATATGGAACTCTGAACATTATGGATGATGTCCTACCAGATTTTTTTTTTTTTAAAGACAGGGTCTCACTCTGTTGCTTAGGCTGGAGTGCAGTGGTACAATCATAGCTCACTGTAAACTCGAATTCCTGGGCTCAAATGATCTTCCTGTCTCAGGCTCCGAAGTAGCTAGGATTTCAGGCACATGCCATGATACCTGACTAATCTTAAAATTTTTTTTTTTTTTTTTGTAGAGACAGGGTGTCTCTATGTTGCCCAGGCTGGTCTCAAACTCCTGGCCTCAAGTGATCCTCCTGCTCAGCCTCCCAACACATTGGGGTAACAGGTGTGAGCCACACTGCACTTGACCCTACAAGAAATTTGACAAAAATGCAGAACCAATCTTCTGTTGTCTCCTGCAGAAAAGAGTATGAAATATAATGTAGACCATTGCTTTAGGTAACTGAACATAATGCAGCGTGCTTCAGGGGCTTAAATTGATGAAGGGAGGAACGATTGTGCCTGTCGTAATCTCAGGTAGAGGCTATTCTTCACTTTCCACACACAGAGGCTGATGACCGCAGCTCATTTCTGGCTCTTCATTGCTGTGGCTCTTGGATCCTGAGACAGAGCAGGGACCCCTCTTAGAGGTCTGTGAGTCCCCCAGGCATGGACATAAAAGAAATTCTCGAGTACCTTCAAGGAAAATTCCAGGCACCTAGCTAGCTTAGAAAAGTGAATGAACGATTTGATAAGCAAGAAGGTAATGGTCGTTTTAAACAACAGCCAAAGAAACTAGAGCCAGAAGATGTTTGGCTCCCTATAGAAATTAAACCTAATATAATAACATATGTTCCTGAGCTATTTTTCAGAAACCTGTATCCCCACAAAATGGAACCGAGGACACACAGACCTCAGATAAGGGAGAACTGAGGACTGAACTCTGATTGCCATTAGAAATTTCTTTCTGAGGGGCCTGGAGAAGGTCATACCCATAAGCCAGAGCTAACAGTCTTTTTTGCTAATATTCTTTTTTGTTTTTTAAACAAAGCTCTCTAACCAATTGCAAATCAGAAAATCTTTGAATCTACCCTGACCTGTAAGCTCCACTTCAAGATATCCCACCTGTTTAGGTCAGAACCAATGTGTAACTTCCAGGATTGATGTACAACTTTGTGTGTAGCTTTCCTGAAATTTACCCCTGCTTTTTTTTTTTTTTTTTTTTTGATGGTGTTTCACTTTGTTGCCCAGGGTGGAGTGCAGTGGTGAGACCTTGGCTCACCACAACCTCTGCCTCCCAGGTTCAAGTGATTTCCTGCCTCAGCCTCCTGAGTAGCTGGGATTACAGGTGCCACCACCGCATCCAGCTGATTTTGTATTTTTAGTAGGGACAGGGTTTCTCCATGGTGGTCAGGCTGGTCTCAAACTCCTGGCCTCAGGTGATCCGCCTACCTTGGCCTCCCAAAGTGCTGGGATTACAGGCATGAGCCACTGCGCTGGTCTACCCTGCTTTTAAAAACCATTACCTGCAAGCCACCTGGGAGGTCAGGATTTAAGCATTAGCTTCCTGGTCCTCCTTGCTTGGTGCTCTGCAAATAACTGCCTTCCTTTTCACTGCTGCAAACCTCAATGTGTATATCTGGTGGGTATACACATTCCCAGCTGGGTGGGCAGACCCCAGTTCGGGTCAGTGATGATCCTTCTCAGAGGTCAGGTCTCTAAGACAAAAGCATGGTGCTCTCCCAACCTCAGGCCTGCCCCCTTTCAAATTTGTGTAGATGACCCACCCAACACTCAGCCCCAAAGGTCCTTTGGTATCTGTGCCTCTTGCCTCCACTCTAGCAAATCCATGTCCAACATCCATGTCCAGCTTTGACATGGGAACTGTGAAAGGAAAATAAATCTCAGGACTCCAGGCTCTAAACAAAAGTGAAACGTCAAGCTGGGAACCACATCAGGCAGATCTGTTTCCCATTTTGTTCCTAAATACGACAGCCTCAAAGATCAAAAAAAAAAAAAAAAAAAAAAAAAAAAAAAAAAAGCTACATACCTCCTTCACAATTTGTACATTAGGAAATTCCTTCACCCTAAAATAGTTCTGCAGAATTTCACCCTGACCATGTAAATTGACAGCATATCTTCACAGGTATGGGACAAAGGGCAGAGTTCAAAGTCATTTCTCTGCTCACCTGAGACAAATGCCTATCAGATTTCTTCCTCTGTGTTGGGAAAAGCTGAGTGTTGGGAGACGCTGAGGCAGGGCTTGCATATCTGGCATAACATAAAAGAGCCTTGGAACATGTCCGGGATCCAGGATCTAAAACCCCTTGAGGTCTTTGGAACACCAAGCTCTGTGCTAAAGGGTGGAAGGCTGCCCTGATGCACCATAATCTAAGCCCAGGGCATAAAATCCCTCATGGCTTGGATAGAATCCAGGGCTCATGGCTCTGGAATGCATCTAGACTTGCTGGCTCCTTGCTCCTTACTCTCCCAGGATCGATTGTATCTTGAGTTAAAAGAACCTGCTCTCCATTATCTCAAGTAGCAGAGCACATGCTAAACCATCACAGCCGTGAATCATGTGCTTGATGCAACACGCCCTTTCGACCTCCACATTCTCACCACCTGTTTCTTTGTTGGATTACCAATAAACAGCGTGCGCTCCTGGAGCTCGGGCCTTCACAGCCTCCACAATCTTTGTTGGATTACCAATAAACAGCATGGGCTCCTGGAGCCCGGGGCCTTCACAGCCTCCACAATCTTTGTTGGATTACCAATAAACAGCGTGCGCTCCTGGAGCCTGGGGCCTTCACAGCCTCCACAATCTTTGTTGGATTACCAATAAACAGCGTGGGCTCCTGGAGCCCGGGGCCTTCACAGCCTCCACAATCTTTGTTGGATTACCAATAAACAGCGTGTGCTCCTGGAGCTCGGGCCTTCACAGCCTCCACAATCTTTGTTGGATTACCAATAAACAGCGTGGGCTCCTGGAGCTTGGGGCCTTCACAGCCTCCACAATCTTTGTTGGATTACCAATAAACAGCGTGCGCTCCTGGAGCTTGGGGCCTTCACAGCCTCCACAACCGCGATGGCCCCCTGGTCCCACTTTACTTCTCAAACTGTCTTTTTCTCAATCTGTTGACTCGACCAGAGTTTGTCACCCCCATGACCTGGTGTTGGGTCTGATCCCCCCAACATTCTGCCTTATGTTTATTTTATATT